GCGAGACGGATCGCGCTTTCCGCCGGCTCGGCTCGGCCCGGCCCCGCGCCGTTCCTGCCGTGCCGTGCCGTGCCGTGCCGTCCCGTCCCGTCCCTGCCGTGCGAGGCCCGAGCTCCTCCCGGCGGCGCCGCCCTCACCTGCCCCGGGATCCGCCCGCGCCCCGCTCCGCTCCCTGCGCCGCCTCGGGCCGGCTCTGCAAGATGGCGGCGCTTCCGGGAGAGACCACGGCGGGCGCGGCGCGGGGGGGCCGGGGAGGTGCGCCCGCCCCCCCCACGCCGCCGGCCCCGCCGCGCCCCTCCCGGCCCCGCCCCCCTCCGGCCCCGCCAGGCACCTCCCGCCAGCGGCCCGACCCCGCCGCCGCTGTCCCCTCTGGGGACGCTCGGTGCGCGCGTCCGCGGCGCCCCCCCGCCCTTCGGCCCGGCCCGGCCCAGCGCGGTCCCGGCGCGTATGGGGGTGCTGGAGGCGCTGGGCGCCGGCGCGGCGCGGCTGCTCTTCTACCCGTCGCTGCTGTACACGGTGACGCGGGCGCGGCTGCCCGGGTCTCGCCGGCCCTGGTTCCACCGCATCGACGAGGTCGTGCTGCTCGGGGCGCTGCCGCTGCGGGGATGCATCCGCAGGGTAAGGTGGGCGCAGCGGGGCGGGCCGGGCCGGGCCGGGCCGGGAGGAATGGAGCTCCCTGACGGTGCCTGTGCCCGCAGCTGCTGGCGGAGGAGAACGTGCGCGGCGTGGTCACCCTCACCGAGGACTACGAGACCCGGTTCCTCTGTTTTTCCCCCCAGGTGAGCCCCGGGCTTGCTGGTCGTCGTCCCCCCCCTCCACGTGTCTCTCGCCGCTGGTTGTCCCGGCACAGGTGAGGCTTTAGCCGCCTCCTGCCGTTATTCCGGCAACCACCGCCACGTCCTGTGGCAGCAGAGACGGGACTACTCGTACCTAAGCAAACTCCAAAAACTATGCGACAAACCACTAAAACGTGAACATGCCAGTGAACTGCAGCTGCAGTGGCAGGGAAAAACAGGGAGAATGTAACTCACGTACAGCACTATACAGGAATGCCCCTGGTTGGGAAGAGATCCAAGCCTCCCTCTTTTCCTTTGGCTTTCTATGTTTAGAAACATATTTTTTCAGTCCCCTTTAACTGCTACCTTCTGATGACGAGCACTGAAGTTTCCATACATCTGATTTGAAGGGTTGACGTTCAAAGCCTGTTTACAGCCTCTCTGAATTTCTCAACTGTCTCAACAGGTTCTGAGTTTCTTTCAGTAAAAAATAGCAACCCAAAAGTTCACTCACCAAATTTGCAATGTCTATTACAGGAATGGGAGGCAATGGGAGTGGAGCAACTGCGTCTCAGCACTGTAGATCTAACTGGAGTCCCCACCTTGGAAAACCTGCACAAGGGCGTGGAGTTCATCCTGAGACATCGAGCCCGCGGTAACAGCGTCTATGTGCACTGCAAGGCAGGGCGCTCCCGCAGTGCCACCATGGTGGCAGCATACTTAATTCAGGTCAGGCGTCTCTGCTAAATGGGGTTAATTTTCATTTAAAAATGGAAATAAAATGCAGACAACCTTTATAGTTAACTCTCGCTCAGGAAACCTGAGCATGTACACGTTAATATTCCATGATTTTACAGAGCTTGGACACTCATTTTAAGAGACGCCTCAAATGTACCTTGTTTTGAATGCAAATGCAGATTTTGAATGATTCTGCTTTTCTTAATTCTTTCTGTGGAGGAACAGATTGAGGTGGGAATGACAAGTCACTCATGAGCATAGGTTCTCTGAGCAAATAAATATCCATTTTTTTGTTCGTATTTTCTCCTTGGTTCACTGTAGTTGTGAGCTTTCCTACACTTTTCCATAAATACAACTCAGGATCAAGAGGACTGATTTGTTTTCTGAGTTCCTCTATCAGCCCAACTGGGGAAGCCAGCATTAAGAATAAAATCCCACCTGTGGATTCTTTCCTTGGTGTTACTAAGTGCTCCCTGGAAAATTTTCCATTAGTGTTGAAGAGAAAATTTTTTTCTAAATTTTTCTAATTTTTCTTTTTTTACTAAGTGCTGAAATGTGATGGGAGTACCAGTAGAGTTTTTTTTTAAAAAATTAAGAAAGCAAGGTGCACTTTTGCTCTGGTCTAGTGGGGGGGGGGGCTAGGACAGGAAACTATTCACAACATGAAGGAAGAGTGAGCGAGAAAGTGGAGCACCCAGGCAGCAACCATTCCTCTTTAACTGAGGGACTCACTTCATGAATGTGTGACTTGCAGGCCTCTCTGAGAAGAACATCAAGTAAACCTGAAGGGCAAAGCAGCAGCAAGCTTTCTAACATCTCTAATATTGCCTGTACCCTCCAGGAGGGTTCCATTAACTGGTGCAAAGATGGAATGGATTTTCACTTGCTGTGTTTCTGCCTTTTCAGCTGCATCACTGGAGCCCTCAGGAAGCAATAGAGGCTATTACCAAGATTCGTCCCCATATCCTCATTCGACACAAGCAAGTCCAGGTCCTGGAGAAATTTCACAGGAACATGATCAATGAGAGAACTGCATAACTTAGTAAGAACTATCAAAATCCTCATCTCAGCTGCTATAAAAAAGTTTTTATGATCTAACAAAAGCTTAAGCATTTTCATTCTTAACCAATGAAATTATTTCATCAATAAAGGGGGAATAGGGCTGTTTCATTAAAGCTTTCTTTCCTTATGGCTAATATTCTAGATCTCACAGAGCCCCATAGTTCTTTTCCACACATCAGTGCTGAGCGGAACTGCAATCCACAAGAAGTTCAAAAATATTTGTATTTGAAGCAAAGAGAAAAAAACAAAATATTTTGTCTCAGTAGAGACTTTATTCAGATTCTTACCCAAAGGGTTACAGTGCCAACAGAGAGGGGAAGGAAGAAGTGGTCTTATTTCTGTCTTTTCACCAACACTATATTATAATTACAGGTGGGGATTTCCTGTACAGTAAAGGAAGCCAATGCTCTAAAAGTGATCTCCCTCTTTATATTAGGTGATGACAGAGCAGTAAGCAAGTACTCAGCTGGTTACCACTCCTCTAGGAGAAGTGCTGAATGTAACCTAAGGGTCCTGGGGTCAGTTCTGCAATCTGTCTACCAGGCCCTTCTTCTGCAATAGGACACAGGAATGTTTAAACGGGGGTATCCCTGGGGGACACAGTGCACGTCTAACTCTGTGACTGACACAGCAGCAACACGCAGTCTCCTAGGCAGTTAAAACTAGCAGTCTGGCCCAAGGAGAATGTTCTCCATATGCCACAGGATTTTTTAGTGATGGATTGGTTCCAGGATAAAATAGCCATTTGCTGCCGCTTGGGCCTCAAACGCTTATCATCAAGGAATCAAAGTAATAGGATTTAGTCCATCTGAAATCTAAGATACAACAGTTCAATACGGTTTTGATAGTGCTATGTGAAAGAATAGGCCCACAGTCAGAAAGCCTGTACTTCCTCTGCACAGGTAGAGGATGGGGTCTTTACTGGATGTTGTGAGCTTGTTGTAATTGGGACTGGTGCTGAGGGTTGTAGGTGTCTTTGAGCTGCACAGCAAGACACTGTTGCTGTCTTTCTATCACTGGGCCTGTTTAGGCCAGGACAAACTGCAGGTTAGTGAGCAGCACTTTGATGCCACTTGTGACTGTTACAACAGAGGTGGCTGGGTTAAGTTTAAAAGTATTTGCATCGCCCTTTTTATAGCGGTCACGAAAGACATAGATGCTGCCATTGCAGCTGGCAATTTTCCAGAGGGATGGTACTGAGCTCCAGGCATCTGGGAGGCATAGCCGGGTGAAGCTATCCAGCAGGGGATTGTAGCACAGCAGTGAATCCCCCTCGGCCACAATGAACACCACATCCTTGTGCACAGCAGCGTGCATGCGCCCTGCGAAAGGCAGTACGTATGGCTTCACGTGGCATTTCTCTGTGTTGGTATCATAGCACTGAATGAGCCGAGAGGGCTTGGTGAAGAAGTCTAAGTCGTTTTCCTCCCCACCCAGCAGGTAAATGACACCATTAAGGTTCACCCCTGCAGCTCCAGAGACTGCCACTTCCAACTGGCTGGTCTCTGTCCAGACGTTGTCTCGTACTCTGTAATATATGACAGCATTAGAGAGAGTGTCCTGAAGAGTTTTCCCCCCCAGTGAATATATTGCATCCTTGCTTGGCACGGAGACGAGGGTGTGCTGGAGCCGGTCACGGGGTAGAGGAGCACACCATTCCCAATCTATAGTTGCATTGTTGCATTTCCACATCCGTCGTGGGATGGAGCCACCAACGACATACAGGTCACTACCGTGCTTGCAGGCTGCAGTGATCTGGTGACACAGGCTGTTCTGGCCACTCACACTGATGGAGTCATCATCAGCACAATGCAGAGAGACAGCGAGGGAATGTGTACGTGATGACTCCTTTCCAATCAGGTAGATGTGAACATTTTCTCCAATCACCTGAGTGAAAGCAGAAGTGTGTCAGCAGGTTTGGTTCTGTTCAGCAACAAACATCAGTGATGCTCAAGACTGAATTTTTCAGTTTAGGACCCACCTGTGGGCTTGAGGTGTATATACCCTCCTTCCCAAGTCCTGCCACACTAACACATTCAGGATTCAGAGCCTCAAGGCCTTTTTAAGATACCATGTATATCTGACACAGTAGAATAGCCACAGATGTCACTACAACACAAGTGTTCATGGTTTAGGTAAGGGCCATCACTGATGGAGTAGAGTTGTTACAAGGGGAATACCAAAACATCGATTTCTGACCAGTTTATTTGGTAACTGAGGTGAAATAAGTTATTTGTGGCACTTCTCCAATCACCAGTGAAAGCAGCCTCAGGTTAAATGAAAAAAGCTGTCAGTGGGGTTGATATTTATGACACACAAAGTATCCTCTCACAAGCACCATGAATTTCAATGAAATCTGTGTTTTGTGACTTTCAAGTCACACCTGTGAGCAGAATACCCTGCCCTGAGAAGTTCTGTATGTTCTGTAGCAAGTGCTACATCAGCCCCAGAACATAAGGTCTTTTTATACCTTCAGACTCGATCGCAGAGTCTCTGAAAAGCCCGCTCGCTCCTCCTTGTTGAAGTTGATCCAGGTTTCTATGGCAACTGTTGGATTCTGAGAAGATGGAACGCCATCTGCGGTTCAGGGACAGAAAGGCATTTATGATA